GGCCTTCTAGAATTGTACTTGCAGATACTGGAGCCACTTCTTCATCATCATTACTATAAACTAACGTGGAATCATACATTCTCTAAAATACTATGTATCCACAGTGCATAGGTCCCGCCCACACTGGAGCGTGTGGGATCACTATAAGGATATAATAGATTGGATTCTATTTTACTTCTCTGGATTGTTATTTAATCATGTTACGTAGGGTTTAGGCATTTTGTAAATTATAATTGATTGAAGTTATTTAATCGTTTACTTGCCTCTTGCAATAAATTTGCTTGTCATACAAGGACAGATGTTTAAACCGTGTTAAGGTAACAAAAATTGTTAAAAATAATCGGTTCTTTTTGTTGGACCGTGTTATTTCAAAACCGCGCAAAATGAATACATGCGAAAAGAGAAATCAGTGTACTGCATTTTTTTTTAAGCATTCAACCCCAAGCAAGGCGGAAAGCCACTAGCACGCAAGGGGTTACAGACAGTTGGAGTGAGAGCAAATAGGAGTGTAGAGGAAAGGATGAAGAGAAGGATAGGGGATAGATCTATGCATCTGGAGACGTTGATTGACATTACATTTGAATAGTTGGAGATTATAGCTATCAGGGAAACAGAAAGAGGGGAGGGAGTTCCACAGGTGAGAAGTGCGAGACATGAAACTATTGGAGTAGAAGAGACGGCTACATTTAAGTTTCGACAGTGAAAGGGTGAGAGCGAGATGCCAGCCTAGTTGAATGCTTAAATTCATGAAGTCTATATGTATTCAAGTTTAAAGATCTATCAAAATTTTCGATTGCTATTAAATTTGGAAAACACCTCTATATAAATGTAGATGTACCAATATGGAAAAGAATAAAGATTTTCAATAATATAAGCATATTATTTGAAGACGCCTTTTCAGTTGGACATTTTGAAAAGCGGGCGAAAGACATTCCGATTTATGGTGAAAAGTGTTCATTGGGCAAAAAAGGGTTGAGAACCGCTGATCTGATAAATATTAGAAGCAGAATATATAATTAACCAACTAAACAATAATTGCATATATGAGTTAGAATAAGATTAACACCTCTAGGGATTATCAACGCACGGATAAAAATGGTTACGTCATTTTATATCTCATAATTACATATATATGTGTGTGCGTGTTAGTCTGTGGATGTGTGAATGGTTGCGTGTGTGTACGTGAAGTCAGTCAGTCGGTTATGTGCCATGCGCGATACATGACTGACGAGGAAGATTTTTTCCCCACAGCAGGTGGGCATTTCTTTCTGCGGTAGACCCCTAGCTATAAAACCCGATCTGATTTACCCAAACCTGGACAGAATAGAAGAAAAGGATTCACACCTTTCCTAGTGATATTAGCATGCAAGTGAATGCAATGAATTCGACTGGAATTTGAACTCGGCTCACTGATTCCCCAATCCGAGCCGCTAACCACTACTCTACCGTGGCGCGGCGAAATATCTCGAAATTTAAAGAAGAGTAAAAAAAAACAAAACAAAATTAAACTGAAACTAAACAATACACTTAATACATTGCTAGGTTCCCAAAACCTTCATGTCCACAATCTTGACCTCGAAAGTTTCGAGTTTATGCAGCATATCACCTGTTCCTATTAAAGTGGTTGTTGAACTCATGTGTGATATGAAAAATCCTAAAAAAAAAATGAATATCTAACTAATAGTGATTTTCTAAGGGCGACTTAGATATGGCACAAGGCCGAAATTATGGGGCAGCCAGTGAGAATCGAACTCACTACTTAATCGTAACTGATCTAGCAAGACAAGCTTTCTAATCATTACATCACGTCGATGTGTCCATGCCTAACTAATAACTGTGTCGAAATTAATTTCAAAAACGATATTTCTTCTACTTTTCATATGGGTCATCTCACTTTAGGACGTGGATAGTTAAGGTTCTCCACATCTTCCTGTTCTTTGAGGCTCTTAGAGAGGTTTGTGTTTTCACTATCTCTCTTAATCTCTGTTCTGTCAACCAACTGCACAAGTTTGTTAAAAACAATAGTTAAAATAAGAAAAAACGTGATTTTGTCACGCCAATATAGATTTGGTTGAAATAAAAGCCATTTTTCTGATGTAATTGTTTAATCAGTGAAACATCAAAATAAGATTTTTTTTCAAATAGTTATTTTTTTAATTAACATGTGTGTTTATGTATTTTAGGGGTGATCACCCCTTTGAAGCATATAGGGTACATTATCTTTATTAACATTCTCGAATGCACAGGCCGGTAAATGTTATTCACACTGCTGTAGCATACCTACGGACGATAATGGGTATGTCCCCATTCACTTAAATACAGTAGTAAATACTGTATGTTGGGCTGCAGTCAGAGCATCGTCTCCAGCTGTGCTGGTCAAACCCTCTGCCTCCGGGCTGAGAGGATCACCAGACGAGTCTAAGTGAAAGAGCAGAGTCTCGTCGCGCGAAACAGCTACCCGACCCCGTTTTATCCGGTTTCTACGAGGAATTTTGGCCGAGCTTTTGGGCTCGGATACCCCACATTACAATTGGCCTTGTGGCACATCTAACCGCGTGTGTGTGTTGGGGGTGGGTAGATATCCTGCAGTTGGAAATTCATTGTGGAATTCACTTGACTCATTTCTAGCAATTGACTACTACTTCTACGCGCCGCTGGAGAATCTTATATGTGTTGTTCTTGTCCTAAGTATTATCGTTCTGGCAAAAGACAACTGTGTATAGCCTCTGTTTTTCAGAAAAACGAACTGGGAAGTTTTGTACATATTTTTTTTATTTATCTATTTTTGAATTACCTTTAGTTTACTGTTTATCTTCCGTGATTATGTTATCTAGTCAATGAAACTTATCTAAAATTAAAATACTGTAAATTCAAGGAAAATAAAATATACGAACCAAAATAAAACAAACGAACCCTATACCAACTTCATGGGTAAATGTAAATATTTCTTTTTAAATCTTTTTTTTAAAAAAAATTGTTTGTAGTAATCGTTAACACGTGAGAGGCTTAAAATCAGTGCTCTCTCTCCAATCGAACAGGATGTGCGCACGCTTTATTAGCATATTCTTAGTATTGTTTTGTATCTAGACACGGTGAAATCATGGATTAATGCTCGGAATAGGGAATCGGAGAGCCAAGTTCGAATTCCGCTCGAATCCATGCTAATAACCTTGAGAAAGGTATGAATCTTCTTCTCCCTATTTTTATTTTTAAATAGCATGACAGACCGGGTTCTATAGCCTTAGATGTCAACTGGTCTACAGTACAAACAAATGGCAACCTTCTGTGGGAAAAAATCTGCCTTGTCAGTCATGTATCGAAAGATACATGATCACCTAAGCGTGTAGCACGCTTGGCACATAACTGACTGATCTCGACAATGAAACTTAATTATTTCATTCCATGTTTTTACTTTTTGTCTGAAATCATGCCACACTTTCAAAATACATTCTACAAGCATAGAACTCACTAGGGATTGAGTAATCGCAGGTACCCTCACATAAATGACTTCACTAGGGATTGAGTAATCACAAGTGCCCTCAAATAAATGACCTCACTAGGGATTGAGTAATCACAAGTGCCCTCAGATAAATGACCTCACTAGGGATTGAATAATCGCAGGTGCCCTCAAATAAATGACCTCACTAGGGATTGAGTAATCACAAGTGCCCTCAAATAAATGACCTCACTAGGGATTGAATAATCGCACGTGCCCTCAAATAAATGACCTCACTAGGGATTGAGTAATCACAAGTGCCCTCAAATAAATGACCTCACTAGGGATTGATTAATCACAAGTGCCCTCAAATAAATGACCTCACTAGGGATTGAATAATCGCAAGTGCCCTCAAATAAATGACCTCACTAGGGATTGAGTAATCACAAGTGCCCGCAAATAAATGACCTCACTAGGGATTGAGTAATCACAAGTGCCCTCAAATAAATGACCTCACTAGGGATTGAGTAATCGCAAATGTCCTGAAATTCTCGTCGATATTTCTCGACTTTCTCGAAAAATGGTTAATTTTCATTCTTTCTTATATTCTTTACGTGATTTTTTTACATTTTGCATTATTTTACTTATGGAAACGCATCTTAAAATTAACGAAGGCTAAATACTTGCTCATGAAGAGATATTCCTTTCTTGTCGAAAGATTCAGATCAAAAGTTTTTGGGTTTTTTTTTTAATTGTCATAAAATAGCATCTTTTTTTCCATGCCATTAGAAACATTAATGTTAAAGCGTATATCCGAAGACTGTAGACATATTGATTGCTTCAGACAGACCATATACACGAATATAGGTAAAAAAGATCTCACCTATTAATATACCGATAGAATCTATAGTTATAATATAAAACCAATGGTTTTTATTACGCTGTTATTGCTTTAATACTGTTTGTTTATTGTTTTAATTGCCATCTTTCTTTCAAGCAGCTCATTTTTTTCCATTCTCAATATTCCTTTATGTTTTTGTTCTTATCTTGTTCTCTCTCCGTTTTCGATCTATTCTTTTTTCCCTATCTTTTTCTTAGGTTCTCTCTCTCTCTCTCTCTCTCTCTCTCTCTATCTATCTATCTATCCATCTATCTATCTATCTATCTATCTATCTATCTATCCCTCCTCTTTCTCTTGCATTGCTTTTCTTCATTACTTTATCTCTTACTTGCATTCAATATTTTTCTTTCTTTATATCTTTCTCATATTCCTTCACTTCTTTTCTTTGGCTCACTCTCTCCCTCTTTCTTTGTCTCTCTCATATTATTTCACTCCTTTCTTTAGCATTCTCTCTCTCTCTCTCTCTCTCTCTCTCTCTCTCTGTTTCATTGCTTGTCTTCATTTCTTTATCTCTTTCTTTCATTGTTTCTCTTCCTTTCTTTATCTCTCTCTTACATTCCTTCTTCTCCTTTCTTTAACACCCCTCTCTTTAACACTCTCTCTCTATCTTTCTTTCTCTCACACACACACACCTACATAATTCCTCTTCCTTTCATTATTTCTCTTTTGCTCATTCTTTCTCTTCCTTCTTTTCTCTCTTTTCTTTTCTTCTCCTCTTAGTCCACTTTTTGTTCTTCCCTGCTTTAGTAACGTCTAAGTCACCTCAATCTCTTTTCGAATATCTCACTCTTTGAAGTCCCTTGCAATAGACTTCGAGATGATCTGTGCCCAAACGATTATTAACAGCACGTGCATATTCATCCTCAAAATTATTGTACCTCCCGGTAACCATTTAGTTTTACTTTGATCAACTAGAGGAACCATATTCGCTCGTCGAAAGATATTTTCTGATCGATGTGTAGATGGGGTGAGTTCCTTAAATAAATCAACACATATTTCTCATTCCATTTTGAAGAAAAACTTTTGAGTGTGTCTGAATCCCAGATTTCAGATTAATTTAATTCTATATACTGAAGTATTTATACTATTTTACTCACCTTTAATTATTATAAATGTTATTATAGACACACTTCGGCCGTCTACACACCGGTCATCTTCAGGAGTACATTTTGGTTGATATGGGATATCTAAGTTGATTCTAGTTTTATTACGTATTTGTAAATGCAGTTTCTTGCTATGGCGTAAGAACCTGTGTGTGTAGATTTTAGGCTGTCCATCAAGCTGACAAGCAGTCAACACCTTAAATAAAGACCTACCTTTGTGTTAAAAAATGCATTTTTGCGATATTTTAAACAAAAATAATATTTGTTTCAAATCCGATTAATTAAACTTTAAATCGGAAAATATTACTCAAATAATGTTTCAGAAAAGTATATTTTATTTTTGAACGACATTTAAATACAGAGAATTACTTTGTGCTGATGGATGGTGCAAAAATCACTGAATCTTAGCGATTTAAAAAGTCTACCTCCAGTCAATTTAAATTACTTTTGAAATACAGCAAAGTATTTTGCTTATTGAAATATTAAACACTAGCAGTATGGCCCGGCGTTGCCCGTGCTTGATTCAAAAATCATACGACTCATACAGCAATCGCTACCACTTGACTTAAAATATTTTTGCCCTTCCTTGCCTTTAAAGGAGTGCTATTTGCCGTGCTGATGTTGCTACATACTTTACTTCTTGCCTATCTCACACTGCGATTTTTTTCTAAGCTCTATACTAAACATTAAATCTGTTACGAAAAAAGAACTAAACAAAATGAACACAAAACGATCAGCTTTAAAAAAGGACTCGTATACTGGAAAAACCGAATGAAAAAAGAATGTTAACAACAAATACTTTTGCACACTCAACCCAGTTCTGCGGAATCAGAATCAACGTTGAGTTTAAGCAAGCGAAGGAACCAATTGGAGTAAAGTGCCATGCAGATTTAAATTTTTCCCACTTGTGAAGAATGCAGCTATCGATTTTTTTTGCATGCTAGCATGCTAGTTAACATTCGTGTCAGTCAGCTGTTGGCTCTCACGCTGGCCAATAGAATCTTCCTGCCTATTTGTGGCAGCCAGCTATTGGCTCCCACTCTGGCCAGTACAAAATGACCCCAAACTACATGAAAACTGCCGTAGAAGCATGAAAAATCGATTATTTCCACTATCGATGGGAGTTGGTCTTGGCCTTTCTGCTAACTTGGAGCATGTGTATGTAAATTTTGGTGCAAATCCGTCGAAAATTGTGGCCGTGCATTCGTCACACACACACACACACACACACACACACACACACACACACACACACACACATCCTGCCTTTTATATTAAACATAATCTATTCGCTTGAAATTGAAACTAAAATAAAAGCTTCAATAAAGATTTTTCATTTTCAAGAATTCATTTTTTTTGTCTTAGTTATCGTATTTCTTTCGAGTTACCTTGTTTTACATAACATTAAAAGGTGGTCTGATATATCATCAAAAAAGGGATCTAATATTTTATCAAAATGTATTTTATATGTCGTCAATATTTCGTCTTATATTTTCATCAAAAAGTTTTTTTTCATAATTTCAAAAGGTTGTCTGAAATAGCATCGGAAAAAAAGGATCATCAACCTCGGTAATAAAAAATCCATATTTTGAACAAAGAATGAGCTAAGAAAACACTTAGGTTCAAAATGAAAATTATCACACATTTTTCTCAGTAAACGAAAGTAACATGAATTAATAGTAATTAGTCAATAAAATATGTTAATAAAAATCTGTTCAGTGCTTTCGGCACATGAAGTTCTCCAACATATTAAATGCCAACTGACTGGGAAATATTTTGCCAATAGATTTTAGCGAACGCCTGGCTCATATATGGTAAAAAGATGTCCATAAATCTGTTGGAAATAAAGGCTTTTCGATACTAACTGTTTTAATCCACATTAGAATTTGCACTACGCCACAGCACGATTTGAATTACTTTTTTGCAGCTAAGGCAGACCTCATTGTGTATTGATGCTCGAGTAGTTTTTGCACAAAAGACACAAATTTATATCAAACCAATACGTATGGTGCGTGCAAGCTTAATTTCTTGATTTCCCATCACAACAAAGTTATCCGAACAATACATAGAGTATATAATAAATATATCTTAGCCCCAAATCATTGTCTGATCTATCTCTCTCTCTCTCTCTCTCTCTCTCTCTCTCTCTCTATCTATCTATCTATCTATCTATCTATATATATATATATATATATATATATATGAATATATAAACGCTGTGTTTTCTACAGCCAAATGAACAGTTCCTCTCTCGGTGTATCTTTTTGTTTCAAACGTCTATTGGTTTTCAAATTCATTCCTGACCTTAAGTAAAACTCGTATACACGATCCATTGATAAAAAGCCTGGAAAAAATTAACTGACTCGCTGTACCGTCCCACAAAGTACCTGGCACCTTCTGCCATGCTTTATCTTTAAAAGTGTCAGATTAAAACAAATATGGATTCTTGTTGCTATCTATAGACTGAGGATGTTCAATTCAGGCTGTTATATTTTCCTAACCCGTTTACGAAGGAGAACATATTTCCCAAACTTCAGCTGCTTTCCCAGAGGTACAATGTCGGAAGCCTGTAACAACTTGTTATATACCGTAACTATGGACACTAATGGGTATGTTCCAGTCCTCATAAATACATTGAACACTATTGTAAGTGGGATTAATATGCTGTCTAAGTAGTCTACCACTAGCAGTGGTTTACCTACTTCACGCCGCTGACGAGTATTGTAAATTGTTGATTTTATAAAGATTACCATTTCATTTCAAGCCTGCCTTTTGGTTATTCCTCATTCAGTAACCCTTCCCAGGTTACAACATTATTCTACCTTTGTCCCATAATAATTGTTCCATTTAGTCTATGAAATGTGTATGCACATGGAACAATCATTATGGGACAGAAAGGGTCAAATGTTTCCTCTTGTCATTCAATTTAATCTGATTATCAAAGTAGCTATTCTTCTATATTATTTGTTATATACAGTACCTATGAACACTAATTGGTATGTCCAAATTCTTCTAAATACGTTGGACACTTGTAAGTAGGGGTAATATACTGTCTATGTAGTCCAACACTAGCAGTGGTTTACCTATTTCACGCCGCTGGCGAGTATTGTATATTCTTGATGTTATAAAAATTGCCATTTCATTTCCAGTCTCCGCTTTGGTTATTCCCCATTCAGTAACCTTTTCTAGGTTACAACACAACTCTATCGCTTTATCCTAAGTAAATATTCTAAAGAGAGTCATTTTTTAGTTCCACCAGTTCAGACATTTACAGCTAAGACGTGCCGTAGTAAGTCTTCAGCGTCGAACCAACATCATTCGCTCCGTATTCCAGTTGCAAGGAAAAAAACGTCCCAATCAGAGAGACTTTCCAATGAACTTTTGTATTGTGGAACAGATTGGGTGGAGTCTTTCCCTGAACCCTACAATCCTAACCTCTTCAAGTCAAAGATCAATTATTACTTATTATCCACAATATCCACATAATAATCCTTGCATTCATATTACACACCTCATTCAGTAACCCTCTACCTTGAGTGGCTCTTAAGCTTTGTAAATGAACTTTAATGGGGAAAAAATCTATGGTATTTATATGTGATTTGACTGAGTGACCAATTAAGGGAGAATGAATGCAAATCCTGATATGCTGCACAATAGATGCTATTGGAATCAAATTATAGCAGGAGTGTGAATGAGGAATAGCGACTGCGGGTATGAGTTTGTCACGTGCGGAGAATAAAACAAATTGGGTTGAAAGTTAAAGGGGTCCAATTCTGCCAAGTTCCAAAACAATCGCATAAAAATCTTCGGAAACTCCAGAGCCATATGACAAATACCGTCATTCGTGGCATTGCTCTACGGGACTAAACATAAAAAAAACACGACAGGCGTAATCATCATAACAATGGTCGCCATGGTGCACCTGTGCATTATTGATGACGGCTTAAGGTTACGGGTTTTAGAGGCTGAGGTTTCAGGTCAGGTTCAGTGTTGATGTGGCCTAACAAAATGAACGAAAGGACAACTGGCTCATTTGTCATATCCTAGAGAAGGCGAATGAATACTGCGAACAAATTAAATAAATAATAAAAAAACAACAGGCAGTAAAAATCTAATCTTTACAGATTTGTCAGTAGGAAGACGTTTTTAATAATAATAAAAAAAATAACTGATGTAGAAAGTACAGTGACCGACTTGTACAAAAGAAATTTCAATACAGCATTCATTTTTCAGTCTCTCTGTGCCCTTCCTATATAAACCTCACACACAGTAATCGAAAAAGTGAAAATGTTCTGAGAGGTGTTACAATATAAATTATATTAAAAAATTGTACGTTACTCATTCAAAAATTCATTTAAAAAAAATATAATATTTATATATATAAAATATATATATATATATATATATATATATATATATATATATATATATATATATATATATATATATATAAATGGATATATATATATATATATATATATATTTTAAGATATTTTTTATGGAAAAAAGTTTTTTTACATTTTTATGTTTTTTTTATAGATACAAATATTTAAATAAATGCTCTGTTTATAATAAACAGTATTAACGACATTTACCGGCCTGAATATCCGAAAAAAT